CAGTGCTGGCTGCAGCTTTTCACACATAGCACAGCTAAGCTGTAGCATCAGAGAGTTAAGTCCTACGTCTTCTAGAGATAAACCATTCCTCCTCCTCACAGTATTTCTTTTCCAATTACAGCCTTGGTATAGAAAGAGAAGAACACTCAGTCTTTGCATTTTGTTTTGATAAATAAGACTGGACAATTTCTAGTGTACAAGCATTATCTTTCCTAAGTTACTGGAGTGCCTTCCTTAGAACTCAAAGAATATCTAATTAATTCTAGTTACAGAAATATGTGTTATCCAGGTAGAGTTGTGTATGGTTTTATTTAGCCCTTGTATCCACACGCTGCAAGACAAAGGTTTCAGCCCTGCTATGGAGTGCCTAGTCACGTTTAAAAACATATCTGTGGTTTGAATTGGAAGCCTCGTTCATTATGCGGTTAGTTCTGCATACAAATAAATAACCTCCTTAAAAGTCTGTCAGCTGCCCAGGCATTAGCTAGGAGTGTGTTTAATATTGAAACCTCGTGCCTTTTAAGAATTATGCGATGTTCTAGTATACTCACTTTCAGTATACAACTTGCCAAAAGCTTCAAAAGGTGACATCTTTCCATCCATTCTTGATTAGAAGGGAAAATAAAGTTTTCTCCCCTCAACTGCAGTTATCTATACACAGGAATCTTTCCAAGTATCTTCCAACTCTGATTTTGCAGCAGGGTATTTTTCATTAAAGCAGGAGATTTTTCTCTCCAGCAGGGAAGCAAGTGTATAGCAGAGTCAGCCTGCTCACATGGACTGAAACTGCTGATGTGTGAAGGATATCATTACATGTCACAGCCCTGGATCTGTTTGGGTGCAAAATCCACTCCCACAGAGAGCTGGCACAAACCCTATTCCTACCTACAAGAGGTACTTTAAGGACTCAGAATTCCAGTGGAAGTTTTGTGTGCAACTGGAATGATACTATTGTTGAGGTTCTTCACAGCATATATTTAAAAAACAATATTCTTTTTCCGGGGGAAAAAAAAACCAAAAACGTGCTGCTTTGTTTTTTAGAGTCCAAAGCAGCCTTGCTATTGAGCAGGGGGGAGAAAAAGCTAAAGATTGAACTGTACCACACCTTGGAATACTGTGACTTGAAGTTTCATAAGGTACCAAACTGAGACTGCAAATAGTAAAAACACTTATCTAAATGATCAATAAGTAACACACTACTGTAAGGCCACTGATTTGATACTACCTCAAAAAATACAAGAATATATACTCTTGGCAAGGACACTAGCTATTGAATTCAAATGGGATACTACTGCTATGTGAAAAGAGCCTGAAAAGGAAGAAGAAAAAAAAAAAAGGAAAAAAAAAAAAACAGAAATCAGACTCCAGAACAGAGACACCACTGCTGGCACAACAGAAAGGGAATGTGAAGGTGCACAGCCTGAACAAGTTCAATAATCAGACAGTTCTGAGGCACAAGAAGCAATGTTTCTGACAGATGACTCCACCCTACAGTGTCTCTTAAAATAATCAAATTAACCATTTAAATTCCAACACAGGTAGCAAACAGAAAGGAGGCAGATTTAGAAAATGTTTGTTTGTCACTTCATTAAGTAGCAGAGCTATCAAGCAAAACACATCTCCCTACACAGTCAAGCACTGCTCAGTAGCACAGGTAGAGCAGCCCCAGGGCGCTGCAGCAAATGCAACCGTGGCAGTTCCACAAACTCATACTGCAGACACTCCGAATATCATCTTAGAAATCCCAGGGCTGATTCCTAGTTGAGCTGTGGAATTCAGTCTAGGGCACTGGTGGAGGAGATCTATGCAGTTCCTAAGCAGATTCTCCCTCACCTCTCCAGGAGACTGTTTGCTCTGTCCTCTGCCTTCTCTCTCTAGATCCAAGAAAATAAAGGGATCCGTTGTGAGAACTGGAGCAACTGAGTAACCAAGCCTCTTTTCAGCCACGGTGCAGAAGCTGCTGGAAGCTCCCTTCCCTACCAGATTATTCTCTATCCACCAACTTCAGTGCCTGTACACACTGCTAGACAGCTTTCACTTCAGCTGAAATACTGAGGTGCCTGAATAAAACCAACCAAAAAAAAGTAATTATTGAGTCTTGCACTTCTCTCCCCCTTAACAGCATCCCTAACTGCCCGGATGCTCCAACCCATGTAAGCTCTTGGAAATAGCCTCAAGAATTTCACCATTATTGTAGAGGTTAAACTTCTAGGAAGCAACAAACAACCAAAGTTACCTCTGTGCACTGCAAATGTAAACTGTTAAGGTAGCAGCATCTACTGCAGAGGGTGAGTGCCCTCCCCAAAGAAAACATTCACCAGTATCTTTATAGCCTTACCAGCTTTTTTTAGCACCATAATTTCAAGTTATAGCTCCCATGGTAACTTGATTCAGCTCTCCAGAAGCTCTGCAGATCAGCTGAAGCACAGCAAACTAGAGTTACACCTTTCCAGTTTACAGTACCTACAGAAATAAACCGGAGGCGAGCAGGAGCCTGGGCCAACAGATTCATTGGCTGGGGGAGGAAGAGGAAGGAAAAACTTCATAGTGAGCTCTAACACCTCAGTCCAAAGCCCAGGACACAAGTCCAGCAGTTATCGTTCTTTTTGACTCTCCCAGGAGCTTCTCACTTGCCTCTTGAGTGCCACCCCTGCATCTGAAGCTGCCCTCTCCCACTTATTTTTAGCAGGTAAGTAAATAGCCACCCACCTCAAAGAGCCAAAAATTAATCAACACTGGAACAAGCAAGCTGCTTGCAGGCAACTGTGAAACACAAGTTTCAAGAAGTTCAGGCACAACTTCTTTTTAAAGCAGAAGTCTTGCGTCTGTAATTTGAAAAAATCTTTTCCTGATCTTTTTTGGAAGCAGATATCACAGTTCTGACAGCACACACAAAGTCTCCTGATTTCTAGGGCAAGTGACTGCAGTAGCCAACTGCAGTTGCAATTTCCTCAATAAGACACGACAAGGCCAGGAGTGACCTCAGCCTGTATCTCGCTGTATGGCTGGGGCACACCTCAAACCAAGGCTGTAAGCAAGAGGGCAGAGTTCTATTCGGAGCAAGAGAATTGCCTCTGAAAATACTTCGGGCAGAAAAGCGTCAGAAGCAGAAATGCACCACAGCACAAATCCAAGGCACCAAGCTCTTCAGGCCTCCCTCCTAGGCTTCCCTGTCAGCTGTCACCTGACAAGGAATAAGGCACTGAACTCAGCTGCCAGCTGAGGACACAGTTATCAGACCTTCCCCTTAGTTCTTAAGGAAGAGAGTTAGGAGAGTTGTGATCATGCTGTGGGGAGAAAACAGGCTGCTCCCTAACGAAACACTTTCTATTACATAAATAATACCTGAGGAAAGCTGCACAATCACTTGTCTGATGCACTGTATCTAAACACAAGAACATTGATGTATTTGGCTGACTTTACTATTAAATGACATCTCAGGCTTTGCAAGCGTATGGGGTAAAGCAAGCAGATCACAGAACTGACTTCCCAGGCTGTCAGCTGTGAAACTACAACTCTCTTAACACGTCTCTTTCTATTTAATAAAGTAACTTCAAGACAAGCAAACATCCTGCCAAGACAGCCAGCCCCGCCTGGTCTGCACACACGTTTCTATCTTTTGAGCACTCAGATATTTGGACTTGCGCACAAGTTTCCACCCCACACTGCTTGGAAATTGCATACTTTTATAGGCAAAGGACAGAAGAGCTGTGGAGCTCACCTCCCTCAAACACACAGCGCGACTGCATGCTCACCCAACCAAAACTTCTCAGTGTTTTGCTCCTAAGCTGAACGCTGATAGGGCGTTTAGGTCCGCTCACAGCTGCGACACGGAGACCTTCAGCACTTGTGCACGAGTCGGACACCGATCCACGCAAACCCTCCAGCAGATTTAGGCCCTATCCGTGAACTTTTAAAGACTTAGCGTACGGAACGTTTTATCTCGCATCCCTCCTGCTCGTTAAAAACAAACACCGAAGAAAAAGCAAAGAACGACAGAGCCCCTCACGTCTGACAGCGCTGCCGGCACAACTTTAAACGCCGCCAGCGCAGCGAGGAGCCCCGACAGGGGACGGCCGCCGCGCCGCGAGCCCCCAGTACGCGGCAACGAAGACCCGCGGCCCCCGCCCGGCCCGGCAGCGACCGGCGCACCCGGCACGGCCCCGGCCGGCCGGCTCCCCCGCGCCCTTTGTTCCGGCCCGAGGCGGACCGCCCGCTCCCGAACTTTTGTTTGCGGGCCCGGGCAGCGCGCAGCCCGAGCGGCCCCGAGGCGGCGGAGGCCGGAACCCCCCACCCGACCCCCGGTCTTCCCGCGCCCCCCGGGACGGCGCCGAGCCCCCGGCCCGCACCGTGATGTTGCAGTGGATGGTGAGCGGCGGCGGCGGCGGAGGGCCGGAGCCCGGCGGCGGCGGCAGGAGCACGAACTGGCAGTGCAGCTCGTCCAGCTTCCAGGAGACGATGCGGAAGCGCTCGTGGTCCTTGTCGAAGATGGACTCGAGGAACTTCAGCTCGGCCTTGAGCCCTGACACCGACATCCTGGCCTCATCTCCGGGCCCGGGCCCGG